TTAATGATTCTATGATTCTATAAAATGCTAAAGAACAAATTATTTATTCTTTAAAAAGCATAAATAAAAAAATCTCTTCATGCGCTAATGAAATATTCTCATATCTTTTTAGGAATTATCATTAAGAATACGTCTCCAGATAACACATCAGTAGGTATTAACTATAGCACACTAGAATACATACAGACTACTCTGCAGTCCTGACATCTTCTAGTTTATTTGATACTTAGTATCACAGTCACTTATCAATATGAGAAAGTAGGATGAAACAACATCCCTGTGATATTGAAAGAGATGAACAAAACATGTCAAGATACAAAGTTGATGGATTTAAAATCTTCAAGCTTAAACACTCCTTGCTGCCAAAACGCGAACTGAAAACACTTCCCAACTGTTTGTGTTAAATAAAATGCCTCAGACTTAAATTTATGACCTTCTGTTATTATTTTTTCTTATGCTTGTTCCAAAGTTCCGTACCCCAATGATCCCATAATATTAAAAGGTTACAATAAGAATAGCACCAAGGTAGTTCGAAGTGTTTCAGTTATGATTCCTAGTTATACTGTTTTTTTTTTTTAGAACTCAAATTTGTTCATTCTTCTTTATTAACCCATATTAATTATATAGTTTCGCAGTCCCAGGAATGGGATTTTTAATGTCGTACCTTATCCTGGCTGTTTAGTTCTTGATAAGGAATATGGGCTGGGAGGTAAGTATGGAGGACTGCACAGAAAGCCAAGCCATCATTCCAGCTACTGCTGAAGTTTGTTATGTCGATATTCTTGAAGGAAAAAAATATAAACAATATTAAAATCATAATCTAACAAGTATTAGTTCTACCAATCCACCAATACTTGTGGTTTTTTGTGTGGTGTGGTTTTTTTTTTTAATACCTTTGAAGAAATCAGCAGAGAAAGCGAACAGCCTAACACTAAAGTTCTGTGGTAAGAAACCAAAATCCACTACTACAGAGAACAACAAAAAAATTTAGTGATAAGAAAGTCAGTTATCTTGTATATTAATTCAAGGTAATATTAAGCAATATAATAAGTACAAAATGTGTGTGTTAAAAGGTATAAAATGTTCTGCCAGAGAGGATAAGAGTATAGATTTAGTACAACTGTACACACCAAGAGAGGAAAGCAAATGAGTTAGAGATGTATGCCTAAAATCCCTGAAACAGACCGGGTGGTAGTATCTCTGTTAATGCAAGATTTTACTTTTCTGCTTCTACTGCATTAATACCCAGATAAACTTTCTAATTGATGAGAACAAGTATTTTTTCTTCTAAACAAACCCATTTCTATACAGAAACTTATGTGAACAAGATCACAAACAAAAATTAAGTTTCAGTTGGAAATAAAGATTTTTCCAACAGATTTAACACTGACACTGGCAGGGAACCATTATCTTTGGATTGGGATTGGAATTGGAATTGAAAGATGCAGTCTTGCACTCTTGATCTTTTAGTTCCAGTAGGAAACTCAGTGGCACTGGTAAATGCATCTCCTGAGACTGTATGTATTATTGTAGAAAGAGTCAGCCCAGTCCAAAAGAGTTATGAACAAGATGCCTCAGTGACCTTTTAAATTACTGTACACTTGGCTGTTGGCAGTCAAAAAATGGTAAAGAGGCTAAGTGGATAGCAGCCAGTTTAAACTTTAATTAAGAAACAACCAGTAACAACAACTCATAATTTATGTTTTAGACCTTTATGGAGAAATATAAATATGCTTTAATATCTAACTCACTTAATTGGGCTTAAGCAAAAGCTAACCAGCTCCCCTACTTAGTTTTAAAAATTTTAATGTAACAGGAACTATAACCTCCAGTCACAGAATTGCAGAAACACAATCACACAAGTCAACCTTTCATTTGACAGCAATTTAATAGTCATCACCTATCTGTGACAAGACACTAAAACTTGCCATTCCTAATGCAGAAAAATCCACCCGGAATTGGTGTTACTGTGCCACGCAGGCTGGGAACGAAGGCAGTTGTATTTCTTGTCAAACCAATGATTTGGACTACAAATGGAAAACAACTGCAATCCCTTCCAGCATAGGAAAAAAACAAAACCAAAGGCAATTTCTAGAAGAATGTGAGGGAAATCTCCATTTCCTGCTCAGCTTTAGCACTTTTTATACAAAGTCCACCAAATGCAGGTTCAGACTCTGGTGACGTAAGCGTACGTGCTCAGGCTCACAATGCCCAAGGCAGTGGTCTGAGCCTCGCCTGCCATCCTGCTGCCTGCTTGCAAACGGAAATGTCATTGTTGGAGACCCCCAGTCTGTGGGAACATGTTCTTCACACAGCTTCCTCAAGCCACAGGGGTGGGAAAATTTAAAAGCAAAAGAAAAAAAATGAAGCTCTCCCTCCTTTCTCCTCAAGAGAGACAGGAAATTGGATTTAAATTAATGCTTGGTTAAAACTTTTTCAATGTTACTTAAATTAGGCAAACAAATGCAACACACAGTACAAGGCTTTTTGTGTCAGAAATAGTGTGGCCAGCAGGACTAGGGAAGTGATTCTCCCCCTGTACTCGGCACTGGTGAGGCCGCACCTCGAATACTGTGTTCATTTTTGGGCCCCTCACCACAAGAAAGACATTGAGGTGCTGGAGCACATCCAAAGAAGGGTAACGAAGCTGGTGAAGGGGAACTGGGGTTGTTTAGCCTGGAGAAAAGGAGGCTGAAGGGAGACCTTATCGCTCTCTACAACTACCTGAAAGGAGGTTGTAGCGAGGTGGGTGTCAGTCTCTTCTCCCAAGTAACAAGCGATAGGACAAGAGGAAATGGCCTTAAGTTGTGCCAAGGGAGGCTTAGATTAGGAAAAAATTCTTCACTGAAAGGGATATCAAGCATTTGAACAGGCTGCCGAGGGAAGTGGTTGAGTCACCATCCCTGAAGGTAGATGTGGTGCTTAGGGACATGGTTTAGTGGTGGAATTGGCAGTGTTAGGTTAATGGTTAGACTCGATGATCTTAAAGGTCTTCTCCCACCTAAACGATTCTATGATTCTATGAAAAAAAGGGAAAAAATATCAGATTGTTAAAGCAAATAAATTCCTACTTGTGTCTGTTTACAAAGTTACTTTCTGAAAAGTTCTTTCCCCCTATCCTGTAACCAGTAATGCCTCGGATCACATCTGTATCAGTAAGATGGATAAAGGTAGGGAGAGGGGCTTCTTCTTGTCAGTCATCTGTGGCAAGCTAGTTATAAAAATCAAACGTGAATGACCACATTTTCTTTGCTACACAATCTACTGAGGGAGAAAAACTCAGTCCTGGTTTTCACCCCTTGGCTGAAATATTCTCCCTCCTTCCCCAGGATGGCCAAGTGATGTGGGAAGGAGAGGAGAAAGATGTACATTGGCATTTTCACAGTTAAATTAAACACAGATCTGCTCAGACATACATGCATGCAACGAGCCAAACTATTAAGAACAAAAAATTGTACTAGTTAAAGCTACTGAAGAGCATTAGCAAATTTTTAAGTCTCAGGACTATAAGGATAGATATAACATTCCTTATTAAAGTAAGGAGGAATGCTGAAGCATTGCTGAATCTGATTAACAGTTTCTAACACATGTGTTTCCAATCTAGTGTCTTAACACCAGATATAGTTTCAATAAGTACTTCCTGAATTGGTATTATTGCAGAATATACTCTGTTTACCATAGACCAAGAGTCCATTAAAGTCAGTCACCAGTACAAATAAAATAAAGTCAGTCACTGTACAAATAAAATAAAGTTTGATAGTACCTTGCCTCACAGAGCTTACAATGTCTTTTTTCTCTCCCAGGTTGCTCCACACATGTCAGAGGATGCACAGCAATATTTATTTGAAAATTTAAGAGTTTGAGCCTGAACACCAGCATCACTGAAGCACAGATGAGATCTCAGTACTGAAAGAGGGATGGAAGGGTCCTCAGCCTTCAAAGTGAGAACAATAGCTTATATTGGAAATGAGAGAGCATAGAGAAAGGAGAAGCAAACAATGCAATACTGTTAAAGCAATGAGCTGGAATAGTGATCTTTGCAACAGTCAGGACGGACATCAACAGGCAAGAATGCATTCATCAAAATTAGAAAATAGGATGTGCAGTGATGTGCATGAGATCATCAGAACCTAAATCTGAGGTTTGACCCTGTGGATGAAGAAGGAAGACTTGTGCTCAGAATATATGAAGAAAGAAATGCAAAGTATCAAACCAGTCTGGATGAGCTAGAAAATAGACCTATAGAACAACTGGGGCTGAAGACAGAACTCTTCACATGATTTAAAAACCAGGAGGAGTGCTCACCTCCAAAATCTAGACACATTTTTCATAGTTTTGTAAGTATGTTCCCTCACTCCAACATGTGAGCAAGAAAAACAGGCTAAAGTTGTGCTGAAAATGGTAAATGAAACTAAACCGAGAGAAAGTCATCTTCCCTTAAACATAGTTGTATAAACTAAAAATTTCACTTTAAATATTAGTAGCATCCATAGAATGTTGAATTTTAAATATAAACATTGGAAAAAAGGGCCAATTAAAAAAGTTCACCTACAAGTTTGGTTGATTCTCAAAAATAACTTGGAATACCCTATTTTTCTACATCTTCCTGTTGGGTCCAGCTTTTATTATTAGGTCAACAAGCAGAAAACAAACCCATCATCCAAGAATCTTAATGTATCCAGAGAAGCTGAATTAAATACAACGGAAGGAAACAATTAAAAGGGACTGGTTTCTGCTTCCAATTGCTCTGAGCATTATGAATTATTATTACCTCTCAGACTGAAAAAGTGTAATATTGGTCAGACACTAAAAACAAATCTAGAAACTGGACAGATTGTCATTTAAACTGAAAATTTAATTTTTTATGTAGGGCTTTGAGCACATAACTGTCACATTTAAATACAGCACAATTGTATTTCCCAAATGCTTTTAACTACTTGTGTTTTTTTGAAAAAGCTTGGTCAGTATAATGAAATCAATCCTGCATTAAGCTCTTATTTCTCAAAGAATTGATGGTAAACAGAACATCAGCCTAAAATCTCTGACATAATTTCTTCTTTGTTACTGTTTTTACTAAGTAATTGGCTCTATTAAGAGAATTCTGATGGAATTTAATCCAGAATTTTTCTTCAAGCCATTTCAGGCCACGAAGTATTAAAACAATTGAAGGACATACTTTCAGATAAATTGTCAAATGAGGAATAAGTCTTTCTAGAGATAGGTGAACTAGGAGGAGATTTATCAGTCCTTGTCTACTAATGTTTAATACTTAGGATGGGAGTGAAGTCACCTCTAGTATTTGGGAGAGATTTTTTTTAAAAAAGACAATTCTAACAAAAGGCGTTAAGCAACAGGCTGTTGTCATAAAAAGATCTGTGGAAGACACTTTCCAACCAGGAATAAAAAAGAGTTAAAAATTTGTAAGACTTTTTTAGAGACAAAACATAAGGGTATAACATTTTACATAACCAAACATACCAAATTCTGTAGTCCATTCTACAGCCATGATAAAGAGGGGAAAAAAAGGTGGTAGGGGAACACCCTGGTGGATCCACAACCAAAAAATATTTCAAGCATGACTCAAGCTCCTATTAAACTGCAAAGTGCAGAGTAGGAGCAGTCACCACAAAAGGAGTATTCCTTTGCGCTCACATAGAAAAAAAGAGTAAGAAGATTCTTCCTGAAACAAGACTGAAATGTAATAGGAACAAAACAATCCATCAGCTTAGGCTGAAATACAATAGTGGTTAAACAGTAAATGAACTGGATTTGAACATGAAT